CTACTCTCGGAACGTTAGATGACAAAATATAACTATGGAAATTCAAAATACGGTATGGTTTATTGCTGAACCAACTGGCATAGTAACATGTTACAAATAAAAAAGGGCCATGAATCCCCAAAACTAGCCCCATATATAGGTGTTGTGTAAACGTGGGAGAAAATATGTGCGGACGGCAAATACAAACTAGTAAACTGCGCGGCGAAAAATAGACACAATAACGAGTAATTGTCGACGATGATTGGTGAATAGTTGTTAAGCTCCCATCGGCTGCAATTAAAAGATTCTCATTGGTTGAGTGTTGTTCAGAAGAATCCTTCATATGAATATATAAAACGAAGTAACTACTGTTGCGAAATAACATACAAATGAGAATAGTACTATTAAACGAATTTAAATATATGCTATGAATCTCTAACGTAATATGCCTAACGTGCGTAACCTGCAACCACCTCCAAAACAATATTGTTTTCAAACATACGTAACGTGGTAAGCTAACGTTCGTAACTTGTAGTCTAACTTGCTAAATTAGTTCACATGTACATTGTATTTTAAACATGTCGATTCCCATAGAAAACCAACATTGCACGTTAGATTCTAATGTCTACTGTCCCATCATCCGAATCGCGCGGTTTCGCGAGTTCGATGTGAGGCGATGGTGAATTATGAAACAAATCTTGGTTGGCGAACTTGAAGATGCTACTCAGATAACGAGGTAGCGTGAAACCACGTTCGGGTACAGTTTATTTGTAATGACGTGATAAGTGAGGTCACGATAACGATACGATTTTGTACGTTGATCTAACTTTTGCAATTTCGCCATAGTTGAATTTGACGTGGGTGAACTAAATTTTGCATATCGTTAATTTTTTCTCACCAAATTAGAAAGGAATCCTTGTCGTAAATGGTGAGTAATATTTTCTCTTGGAAAACATAAAAAGTTGAAATGGAGGGGAAATGTTTTTGCGTACACACGTACCTAGAACCGCTTGTGTACACTTTTTTTAAATAGAGCAGTAATTATTTGTATTTACTTTTAAATAACAATATTATAACGGTAGATGAATTTACCCATCGATATTTAGTTCAAAGTTTGGGCCTTTTTGTGTCTTGAAGAAAAAAAATGTCTCACCATTTACCTTAGGGATTACCTGTCTGATTTGAGATGTTAAATTCTGTGGACTTGCAAAACGTGGCTGATCATTGACTTTTTCACCACCAGTTTCCTCTTTTCATCACAAATTCACAAAATAGTAATGTTTATAGTCTGCACTTTCCTTCAGAAGCCTCGGACAAAAATAAATTTGTTTGAGTACAAACTGAAAATTGACTCAAATTTTGTCTGTTGGCTTCAAAATTAGGGTTAATTTCCAGAAATATATGAATATAAGAAAAAAGTGCATAACATTTGGGCAAGAAAGTCTGGTGGTGAGAAGTTTAATATACCCTTATGAATAGAGAATTTGAGGTTAGATAGAATATGTGTTGGGAAATCGGCAGACAACATTAGACTATGACAAAATATAGCAGTAGGTGGTCATATATAACAGGTATACATTGGATAAATATTGAGATAACAAAATGTCATTGATGTGTATACCAGTTCAAAAACACAAATATTCCAGTGTTTAACGTATCATCTTGTACTTTGAAGAACGTTAGATAGAAAATAATTACAAGGAAACGAACATCCACATGACAAATATGGACTGAAAGAAAAAGTGTAACCATGGGAGTACCACAGGATCTATTTTGGGACCACTTTTGTTTATTATTTTTTTTAATAATTGGCTCTATTAACCAGCTACATATATGTTGATGACCAAACACTTCTTAGCGAAAGTTAAACATATTGATGGTATAAATGTAGCTGTAGCTGACGTTAAGCTGATTGCGGACTGGGTTAATGCTAATTCTATACGCATTAATGCCAATACCAATAAATGCACATTGATATCCACTGCTCGCAAGTTAGATAGGTTACGCTTATATATTCCGCTGAT